GTGTGTGTGTGTGTGTGTGTGTGTGTGTGTGTGTGTGTTGCGTGTGTGTGCGTGTGCGTGTGTGTGTGTGTGTGTGTGTGCGTGCATGCGTGTGATGAGACCAAAAGGGAATGAATGACACTCGTACACTTGTGGGCGCACCACTAACCCCAACATCAACCCGATCCCCACCGCTCCAGTCCCCACACCAGCCTTCATCACATCACACCACATCGTACCCGTCCGCCCTCTGGGGAGGCCATGATCTCCTCGTGCTTCTTCTTGTCAACCTGCAGTGACAGCAGCAGTTGCCGTGGTCAAGGGGGAGGAGGAAGCAGCGGCGGTGGGAGGAGGGGGTGAGAAGAAATAATGCAATTACAACATGCACCGCGCGCGCGCACACACACACACACACACCTGCACACAACACACACACACACACACACACACACACACACACACACACACACACCTGCACACACAACACGCAATCTATTTGGGGAAGGTCCAACCTTGTCTGGGAAACGGTGTGCCAGAAACTCGTACACGTTGACAATGCCCTTGCCTGAGACGATGCGTTCACACGACACGCGACCACGCGCGCCCTGCGTGCCAAACTTCTTCGACAGGAACTGCAGCATCTCAACCTCAATGTCGCTGCGTGGCGCAAACTCAACGTGGCCTCCCTCGCACGGGAATGCATCGTATTCGCCGTTCTTGCTCGTCAGGAAGCACTCGCCAAGACCCGTGCCGGCCCCAATGAGGCCGATGGGGGCGGTCGGGTCGCACTTGCCCTCCTGCAGCACCTCATACTCGCTCGTGTCCAGCGTCAGCAGGCCGTACCTGCCACGGTGGTCGTGGTGGGGGGGGGGAGGGAGGTGATGGTGACGTGGGAAAGTAGACATGAGACAAAGCACAGTTCATGCATGCCATGCGTGTATGCATGCGTGCATGCATGTGCTGTGGTAAGGTCACAAATGACACACAACACACACAACACACCACAGCACAACACACCACAGCACAACACACCACAAAACAACACACCACAAAACAACACAACACAAACACAACACACGAATACACAAACACAACACACGAATCCAAAACAGCAGACGATACCCACCCGTTGGCGGCAAAGTCGTTGACAAGCTTGACGGCGCCGATGTTGAAGGTGCGCTCGAGGTCCGGTGCAGCAATGTTCCACCCGCGGTTGGTCAGCTGCACCACATTCTTGAACACGGGGCCCGCCACAGCAAAGCACGCCGTAGCGATCGCAGTCACCTGTGGCACGCAGGAGAGAGGGCAGTGGGTGAGTGGGTGAACGGGGGGAGGCTGTGTCACGCAAAGTGGGTGCAGAGAATAGAGCACATCCACTGACACAGGTAGGTACACGCACAAACAAACAAACACACACACGCACACACACAAGCAACAAACAAAACAAACAACAACCAAACACACACAAGCAACAAACAAAACAAACAACAACCAAACACACACAAGCAACAAACAAAACACACAACCAAACGAAGGACGCTATGTTACATTACCGCTTCGCCCGTCTCGGTTTCGACATCTTGGAGGAAGCGCGAGACGGCGTCCGCAAACTGGGCAAAGTCGTTGTTCTTGTAGTTGCGGGTGAACACCAGCTGGTGTGACTTGAGCAGCTCTGTCTCCGGCACAGTTGCGCTGCCCTTTGGCACTGCAAACCAATGCGAGAGAGCGAGTAAAGAATGGGAAGCGGGCGGAGGGAGGAGGAGGAAGAGGAGGAGGGGGGACACGAAGCCAGTGAGCCTACTCACATAACCCAATGAAGATGGGGAACAACAACAACAACAACAACAACAACAACAACAACAACAACAACAACAACAACAACAACAACAACAACAACAACAACAACAACAACAACAACAACAACAACAACAACAACAACAACAACAACAACAACAACAACAACAACAACAACAACAACAACAACAACAACAACAACAACAACAACAACAACAACAACAACAACAACAACAACAACAACCGACGAAGGTAGAACAACAACACCAAACAAACCAAACCAAAACAACTCACAATCGGATATCCAAAGGACCAAGCAAAACAACTCACCGTTGAAGAGGGCAAAGCGAGCGTTGGTGCCACCAACGTCGCCAGCCATCACAAACGTCTTCTTATCACCACGACCCATGATGACGACGCCTTGCTTTCTTGGCTCGCTGACTTCTTGCTTTCTTACTTTCTTGCTTGCTTGCTTGGTGCTGGCTCTGTTGTGAGGAGTTGGTTGGATCGAGAGATTTGTAACGACTGCCACACCACTCAGTCAACTCTGCTGCGGTTTTGCTTGCGGTTGTAGAATATTCACAAAAGATATGAATGTATTTTCTAGCCTCTTGGCAAACCCGCACCACCAGCAGTACAAACAAGAGAGGACGCGCACACACCGACCGACCTTCTTGCTGGTTGTGCTTTGGTGCTTGCTTGCTTGCCACGTGTGGTTGTTATCGTGTGATGTGGAAGGGACACACGTTGTAGCTGGACCTGCTTGCTGCTTGCCAGATTGGATTGTGGGCAGTGAGGGACAGGGAGAGAGAGAAAGGGAGAGAGAGAAAGGGCGAGAGAAAGGGAGAGAGAGAAAGGGCGAGAGAAAGGGCGAGAGAGAGAGAGAGAGAAAGAAAGCAGAAGAGAAGGTTGCGGCTATGATGGGAGCAGGCTTTCCCACGACCATCCGCCTCGGTCCATGGCGGTGCAAGCTCGTGTGGGTGGCCGTGCCCATCATTGTATTTATTGCCGTGCAGCTGCTCACTGCCTTTGTCATCATGAGCCCTCAACCAGCGCCCACATCATCAGCATTGGCAGAAACAGCAACAGCTACAGCTAAAGCTACAACAGGGGCCGCAGCAGCAGGTGCTGAGTCCCCTCACATCGTGCAATCCTCGTTGGACCAGAGGCCTGTCGCAGTGAGCAGTCGCAAGACTCGAAAAGATGGCACATCTTCAGAGGTTCAACAGCCAGGTTCTCGCCACGCTGTAAAGGACGCCAGTGCAGCACCAGCAGCACCAGCAGCAAAGCCACAGCTACCGCCTCCTTCTCCTTCCCCTCCTGCTTCCCCTCGCGCTCCTGCAGCTGCAGCTGCAGCGGAGGACACGGGTGGGGATGCAGGCAAGTCGTCCAAGAACAAGAAACCCGGCGTTGAAGATGATGATTTTGACGATGATGATGATGGCCGCATGCTGCAGACATCGCCGCTGCCGGTGAACGTGGCGGCGGGGCGGCGATGCTTTGACGTGAACCGCACGCTGCCGCTGGATGTGAGCTGCTTTGATGACGGCCGGGCGCCACACGGGCGACCCCGCTGCGTGTGCCGCGACAACAGCAACACCTTCTCGCTGCTGCCGTCCTTCTTCGTCATTGGCGCGCAGAAGAGCGGAACAACGGCACTCATGGGCCTCTTCCTCTTCCACCCGAAGTTTGTGCACATGCGGGCGAAGGAGGGGCACTTCTTCGACCGCTACGAGGGCGCCAAGCCCAAGCACCAGAAGGAGCGAGCGCGGCGCTGGTATCGGCTCATGCCACGCGCCCCCATGGACAGATCCGTCTTCACAGGGGAGGGCACCCCAGCGTACATCCTGGTGTGTGTGTGTCGATGTGTGGGTGTGGGTGTGTGTGTGTGTGTGTGTGTGTGTGTGTGTGTGTGTGTGTGTGTGTGTGTGTGTGTGTGTGTGTGTGTGTGTGTGTGTCAATGTGTGTGTGCGTGTGTGTATGTGTGTGTATGTGTGTGTGTGTGCGTGTCTGTGTGCAGACACTTCCCGGTATCTACACGCTGAAGCTCATGTCCTCCACAGCATTATCACTGCTGTATATGGATCAGTGTTCGGCTCATGTACCAAATTCTGCCCGACGCGAGACCATCGACCCCACCGCTGACACGCTCGTGCGGCTATAGTAGAGAGAACATA